ACTGCCGGGAGTACTACTTGGCTACCTAGTTGTGTCACTTTTCCAAATTAGAGAAAGGAAAAGATTCAGAAATGCTGCAAGTAGTATTCTGAGTTGCATAATCCCACTGTATGTAGTGTAGCTTGTATGACTACATATACTGTATCGTTCGTGTACGATAGAGATAATTGCTTATCATTTTTAAGGTAAAACTATAGCCACAACTGTTACTGTAACAGTTCAATCCAATTACAAGATATGGAAACTAATAGGTTGATTGCCAGATTAAAATGGAAATGCCTAGAGCTCCTCTACTGCTACATTTTCATCGCTTGTAAACTCCCACCTATCTCTGCTTTGTTATGGAGGTAAAATGAGAGCAATATTCCCCCTAGTTTTCTTGAAGATGCTGTACCATTTACGTTAGTGTTCTTTGCCAGGTGAACAGTGACGTCCCATTGTCTCTAAATATTTGTGCTGTTCAGCGTGATTCTTTTACAGCATAACCGGCACTACGCCTCCCTGCCACTTTTTATCTGCATAGTTAAACATAAGTGGTTTATTGTTCAGTTTGCCTAAACATCTGTAGTACAGTTATTGGCCCATGGCAAATAACTGTGTGGAAGGTAGTTATCAAAACCACGAGTAAGAGAGAAAGCTGCACAAGCAAGTAAACGATTAGAAGTTCATCCATTTGATATAAGAAAAATAACAGAGCCATCTTTTAATTGTTACTATTTCACAAGAAGCTCTCCTTGTGGAAAAAGAGTCAGTTGTTACGCACAGTTTAGCTGTCACACCACATTGCATCAAAACCACTTAATGCACTTGCTGTTTACAAAGAACACTGCATGTGAAAGCCAGGATTTATAAATATGCTAGTATTGGTGAACCCTTGTATTAATCCAGAAGCTTCCCTAGACCAACATCTTCAAATGATGCAGACTTCACAGAATTTCTGCTAGGTAGAAATTGAATTACTTGAAATAACTCAGAAAAAGACCACTGAAATTGTAAATAAAAAGTGCTACAAAGAACAGCTTTTTTTTTTTTTAATTACTTCCTGCCTTACAAAGAACGAAACTTACAGTTAAATCTTAGCATTAAGATGAGCTTATTAGGCACAAACCTCTCTTTCCTATGTGTATCGCAAGAGGAGCAGCAGGCCTTTTTCTTGTTTATTTACTTCCAGGATAAAAAAAAATAATTCTCAGTCTTAGACTCTTTCTTACCTTCTGATGAATGGAAAAAAAGCAGTGATACGATCTGCATGCTTTATGGAGTTGGAGTTTTATGGTTGGTTTTAGTCACATGTAAGTGATGAGAATAATATTTGTGGTTCTGCCTTCAAAATAGGTCTTTTGATGCACTAGAATGTCATTTTGGTATTTTTTAACATATACCACACTGATGTGTATAAATTTATTAGTAAGGGGGTTTTTGTGCCTAGGTCTAATATTTAGCAAGCAGGACTAAATACATTGTTAAAGTTCAGAAGAGGTACTGGAATGAACAAAACTTCTTAAAGGTTATCACATTATCAACTTTATGAGTCTCCCTCTACAGTACCAGCTTCTGATGAGAAAGCGTTTTATGCTAATTAAAGAAAGGCTCAGAACTGCTGAAGACTGCTGACCTATAGCAGGCGAATTTATTTCATCTATAATACATAAAAGATCAGAATTTCCTTTTGCAGAAACTGTGCTGAGTATGCAAGTGGGAAGAGAATACTAGCTGATTAATATGGTGTTAAAAGACAACTAACTTAAACTTCCAGAAGTAGTTTAATTAGAGATTAAAATTAGGCTGCAATGAAAAGCATAGTTGTTATCCTGAATTTAAAAGACAGATGTGAAATTAAGACAATTTCCCTCATAGCAAAACCTTGAGATTCTGAAGCATAATGTCTGTTTTACTCAGTAGTTCATCCTATCTTTGGTCAGAAAACCTGCTGCTACAATTGAGCAAATCATCAAACACAAAGATTAGCCTAAGACATGGTCAGTGAAATTGAGAAGTGAACAGATAGTGGCTAATACAATAGATTTGGCAAAGATATTTCAGGTATAAAGATAATAGCTTTTAACATTTTCTTTCTGTCTCGCAAACACTGGATTTGGTCAATAACATCACTTAATATTAGAATAGTTATTGAAAACAACTTGGAAAACACACTCATATTTAAGAATAATGTTTAACCATCAGAGATTAGGGTGAACATTGTGGGGTAAGTGCATGCAGTTTTGCAGCAAAGCGCCATGGAAAAAGCTGATACTAGCTAGCACTCAATCAGTATACCAGGGAAAGATAGACCACTGTCCTCAGCAAACCATAAACTTGTAAAAGCAGCAAATTTATCTTAACTAGTGTATCTTTGTAAAATTTCCTCACTTTAACAATTTTTGTGGAAGGAACTGCTTGTTGGACTTAACTACAGGTGCAAGGAGCAAAATGCTAGCAACAGATCCAGGTTTACAGTAGGTGCTAGTGGAAAATAACGCTGTGATTGCAAATCTGTAAGGGAGTTCTTTGATAGTTTCTAATTTGTTGCAAGAAATTATTGCTAACTTGTTTTCTGTATTAATACCAAAATACAGCGACACTTCAAATCCACTAGAGCAATTTATTAAAAACCGCACTTTTAAACTGGGACATTTGTCAAATGTAACAGATTGGATAACTGACATTGCCCAACTTTAACCTCTAAAATACAGAAGTGCAAACCAGTTTACTTCAGCATAATTCTATATCCAAACTTCAAAAATGGTCTCTGACATTGTCTGAAATGTAAACTTTTTTCAGTACCAACGAAGTTTGTATATGCTAGGAAGTTTGTTTTCTCAATAACATTGTTTTGAGAAGAGATTAAACCTTGGTCAGCATTTCTGTATGAGCTCTAAGTCACCCCTGACTGTGGTTCAGGAAAACAAGCTACGTATGATGGATGTTTTCAACATGAATCTTAAGCAGCAAAGACATCTTAACATGACCCTCCTGAGTTTTAATATATCAAGATGGTGATACATTACACATGTATGTGATACATACATAATACATGTATATATACACTATACACACTATATATACACACACCCCCCATGTATATATAAATATATATAGTGCACCTACTAGGGCCAAAAATCTTTTGCAGCTATTACTGTCAGTTAAGATACAAGCACAATCATCAGGATTCACCAACCGAGAACTGGATATGCCAAACATTAAAATAAAGTCTGGCACAATAGGTGTGCTTTTACTGTTCTCATTTGTAATAGTGCAAAAAAATAAGTCAGTAGTTTACTATTTTAAGATATTCCTAATTCTAAAAATATTTCCATTTGCAACCAAAAATGCAGTAGCTGTTTTTTTGCAAAATGTCAGGTAAAATATTTGAGGGCAAATAAGTTACTATGTTTTTGTGGAACTAAATTATAAAACTAGTAGTCCTTTATACAAGCTTAAGAAAAAAGTTTTAAAAATATCTTTTGCCTTTGTAGAAGAGCATATTGGCAGTGTGTATAAAGCAAATACAGTAAGTCCATTTGGAGCTCAAGCTGTACAAAAGTCAATATGTGCTAGTAATTCTCTATGCTGGCTTGTTGGATACTGTACTTTACATCTGGGACACTCGAGAAAGCTTTCATCGAGAAGGCTGGAATGTTTCAGGGAAGGACTTCTGTCGTACGTGGTCAGCTTCTCTTCAAATGCAGCTTGCAAATCTTCTTGTGGCTCCACACGTCCAGATTCCTGGAGCTTCTGGAAAAGGAGAAGCTTTAGTGTAAGATTGGGGCATGAATGCACTGATCAAATACTGTGGAAAAAAAATACTAAGGTTTGAGGGCACAGAAGCCTTATGTGTGTTACAGCACTAAGGGTACAATTTTAAAGATGGCTAAATGCAGTTATGCTACTTGTGTTAATAACAGAGGGCCTGTCATACAATTCTACCACCCCATTTGAACTAGATTGCTTTTCTGCAGACTATTTAAGACAGGTTTCCCACAACATCTGACTGGGAATCCTTCCCCAACCATCCTCCTAGCCACTCACATACTATCTTTCCTTAATAAAACGATGCCTCAATTCCCCCTGCATAGGATGCTGCCTAGTTACCTTCCCAAAAACTCTGCCATAATCTTCTCTTCTCCTCGTGATCCCATGCGTTTCTGTGCGTGAAGGCTGTCCCTAACCGTAAAAGGCACCCGGTTGTCTATTTGACAGCTGCTCCTCCAGCTTCTTAGCACAGAGAAACTCAAAGCTGTAACTTCCCTGCTCTGCCCGAACTTCTGCTCTACTCCCAGCAGACAGAAGGTTTTCCAGTGGCCGGAGCAGCAACTGCAATCCTAGCAAGCAAGGCTCTCCCCCAGGGGCAACACATGAATGAAGAACTTAAGTATGTCAGAATTAATTCTATTCCCTTCCTCATTTGAGAAAATACTTCAAGCTGCATACAACAAAGAGGGAGAGCAGTCTGGCAGTCACAGAGAATTCTTCTCATCTGCAACATGTTAGGAGCTTTGCATTTATCTTCTCTGTATAAAGCACAGCGGCCCCAGACCTGATCTAATGAAGGGCTCGGGTATCTGATTTTCATTTTGAACCTCATTTAAGTAAGTCCAGAAATGCAGTTTTGACAATCCTATCCAGAAGCACCAACAGTCAAAATGCATTTCTGCTCAAGACCAAGGCAATCCTGGATACGACAGAGCAAAACAGATCAACGGCTTGCTTAATACTTAATCCTTCCCTACAAATTTCTCCATTAAGTCCCCCTCAATACCCTTAGTGCAGGGGATCGAGTGCACCCTCAGTAAGTTTGCAGACGACACCAAGTTGGGCGGGAGTGTTGATCTGCTGGAGGGTAGGAAGGCTCTGCAGAGGGACCTGGGCAGGCTGGATCGATGGGCCGAGGCCAACTGTATGAGATTCAACAAGGCCAAGTGCCGGGTCCTGCACTTTGGCCACAACAACCCCATGCAGCGCTACAGGCTTGGGGAAGAGTGGCTGGAAAGCTGCCTGGCGGAAAAGGGCCTGGGGGGGCTGGTCGACAGCCGGCTGAACATGAGCCGGCAGTGTGCCCAGGCGGCCAAGAAGGCCAACGGCATCCTGGCCTGTATCAGAAATCGTGTGGCCAGCAGGAGTAGGGAAGTGATCGTGCCCCTGTACTCGGCACTGGTGCGGCCGCACCTTGAATACTGTGTTCAGTTTTGGGCCCCTCACTACAAGGACATCAAGGTGCTGGAGCGTGTCCAGAGAAGGGCAATGAAGCTGGTGAAGGGTCTGGAGAACAAGTCTTAGGAGGAGCGGCTGAGGGAGCTGGGGTTGTTTAGCCTGGAGAAAAGGAGGCTGAGGGGAGACCTCATGACGCTCTACAACTACCTGAAAGGAGGTTGCAGCGAGGTGGGTGTCGGTCTCTTCTCCCAAGTAACAAGCGATAGGATGAGAGGAAACGGCCTCAAGTTGCACCAGGGGAGGTTTAGATTGGACATGAGGGAAAATGTCTTTACTGAGAGAGTGGTTAAATATTGGAACAGGCTGCCCAGAGAAGTGGTTGAGTCACCATCCCTGGAAGTATTTAAAAGACATGTAGATGAGGCGCTTAGGGACATGGTTTAGCAGGCTGACGGTTGGACTCGATCTTAGAGGTCTTTTCCAACCTTAATGATTCTAAGTCTAGGGCTCAAATGTAGATGGCTTTCTTTGGATTTATATAATAAGCAGCAAACAAACCATGGCCCTCACAATAAAACAGATGTCCTTTTTCATTGTAGTAGGGAGCTTGTCTTTTTGGAAATGAAAAACCCAGGTTTTAATGACCCACCCATCCTGTATCAGATGGAAGTGAGGGAGGAATTCAACTTCTATTTTAAGGATTGTGACTTGTTCACTAGCAGCAAGTCTGAGTAGAAGCATACTGCAGCTTTGTCATTGTGCAACAGACAAAACTAGATACACATGGTGATACAAAATACAGTTATGTTCCCTGCTCAGGCACCTGACTATTCTAGATCTCCTTCTGCAGCACTAGTTCTCCGTGCATGCTGTAGAGAAAAATGATGCCTAGCTAGTTGATGTAGGGTTCTGCACGTTGGGGCCACATACCTAAAGGATGTAAGGGCCTACAGTGACTATCTGATGACATTAACAGAAGACTCACTATGCTTGAAACAAGATCCTGAAATGAAAAGATGTACATTTATGCAAAATCCCTGACTAAATTCACCTGCAAGTTATTCAGCACATACCAGAGGTTCCAGACGGGTTATTTGCTCCCTGGCCTTGCGCAGTTCCTTAAGGACTTTGTTTAACTGATACTGCAACTTCTGGCGATCAAGCTTTTCATTCTCAAAGTCTGTGGTGCATATCTGGATCTGGCAATCCCCCAAAGTGAAAATTAAAGAATCAAAGTCAGAATTATTAACAATTGAGCGTGGGGCCAAGGGGGAGAGAGAGAGAAATGTTTCCCCTTTATATATTTAAAGTAAGTTTTACTCTGCTATCATATCCTAAAATGGGATTTAAAATTAAAAAAAAAAATCACTTGTTGCTTTCATTACAGTGAAATTCATACGTGCCCAATTATGAAAACCACCTCCCTTAGTAGAGGTGGAGTTTGAAGTTATTTTGATTGGAGGGTATTTCAAACTGTCTTGCAATCTTAAACTGAACATTTTATAGAAAAGCATTAGTGCAAACTCTCACTAAAAATGCCAGTTTCTACTCCAGGATCTTTCTTGTAGCAAGACAATTTGGACAGAAACTATGAGTAACACTGTACACCCAAGCTTAGCACATAAACATAACTTTTTTTCCAATAACATCAGTTAGATCTGTAAGAACGTACTTGGGAAAAATAAAGCAGATGGAAAACATGGCAATGCAATTATTTGTATAACTATCAAGAATATATTACAAAACTTCAATGAGCTGATTGGTTTTAGGATGTTTCCCATACCTAATCTGAGGCTGTACAGTTGAACAAGTGATTGTGGGGAAAATAGCATCAGGTTTGATCACACCCTCTTATCTGTAAAAGGTTACAAATTTTCCTCTTGACAAATGCGTCAAAATTTTTAGAAGCATCAAGAGATTGTTCACAGTTGAATATTCATGTCTAATATTACTTTATTTAATGTATTACTCATTCTTAAATTTGAAAAGTTAAGTCTAGAAAGCCTTCGTGCATAATACAGACTAAGTATCAGCATCTTAGCTTATAATTTGGTACCTGTTGTTCCAACAAAGCTATCCTAGTGTGTTCCTCCTGCTGTTTGAGCAGTGATTTACGAAGAAGTTGCACCTACAAGGCAGAAAAACACTTGTAATAAAGAACTTCCATATACAACAGTTAATAAACTCAACAAATAATGAATCTAAAAAGAGATAGAAGTAACCTATATATTCCAACGCCAACAGAAAAATGTATGCTTGTTATGCAACAGCCAAACCCAATTCAAATATCTCTACTTCTCTGGGGAAAACCCTAGGGAAACATTATCATTGCACTGAGCAGGGGGAATGCAGGATGATGTTATAGGTTAAAAAAAAAATCAAACTGAACTTTTCTAGGTGATTGCTAGGATGCAGACAAAAATATACACACAAAACCTATGTCTGTACTAACATGCCATGATGTTAAAAAAAACAAGCAATGCAACTTTTTAAATAGAACAAGTTTAAGACTCAGAAAGTACTATACTATAAGTAAACGTAAAAACGTATGGATTAAGTAAATGTAAAAAAAGGAAAAATATCCTCCGCTATCAGCATGTATCAACTTTTACAGTGAATGCTGTTGTTCAGCTGCAAAAAAAAAAAAGGCCAACACCTTTTAGTCATTATTAACTGGTGAGAACAGTCTCTAAACACATCAGCCTGTGTTTAGAGAGCTAAACGGTTGTTCTGGTTTTAGCCTACTTTGGTGCCTAGTAAGTTTTATTCTCATATTTCAAATTTCAGTTCTACATTGCTTTGTTATTGACCATAAACTTCTCCAAGTAGCAAGTCTATCTTAATTGGATGCCCTGAGGACGTTCCTTCAAGGACGACTTTCCAGTTTCTCTTCAGCAGATACGTGGTCATGATTTCATGTCCAGAAGAAGAAACAGGTTTTTTTTTTTGTTAGCATCACCATGCTGATAGGAATATTCCAAGACACCACTGTTACTCTCCATGTAGGGGATGTGGCAAAGTCCTCGTGAGTATTCCAAACAAAAGGAGGTAAGCACTGAATATTTTTAAATACAAACTTATAGCACATGCACGTCCTCCCCTGCCTCTGATCAGCCAGAGTGGTTTAAAGTCATTGGGCTCAAAAAAGGAAGGAAGGAAGAATTAAGAACTTCACTTATGAACAGAATTATTTCACTGAAGTCATCACAGTACTCTTTAGGAGACAGGCAAGCCCTGTGAACAATTAGAATCTGATGCAAAAGCAACAGAACAGATCTGGCAACAGCGTAAACCACACATATTGAACAGCCTGCCTGACAGGCACTTCTTAGGCTTTTAGGGAATTACAGAACTCTTCTCAGTGGTTTCTGCCATAGCCATCTTCAAGACAGTGACAACTTAAGGTCCATCCCTTCCCTTGCTTATCTGGCCATTGCTTTTAGTACTCAGGTGTGCCTGCATAGTTCTTACCCATGGCATCGTATAGATGACCAAATGCAGGAACCCATCTGAATGGAAAAACAAACCAACCCCAGCTGCATGGCCACAATGGTTGGCTGGGGGCACTGTCCAGGGACACAGCTGCTTGTCCAGTAAGTATGAAACTACAAGCCCACATAGGTATTTGTAGCAAGCCAGGTGACATCAAGTATCAGTGATATTCCATAGTTAGGACCACATGATAAAATAGCCTGTATGGACTTGAATTTTTACCTTTCCTGTTCTCATTTACTATTAACCTTGAGGATTAACTGGATTAGAATCAATTAAGTATTCTCTCACTTCTTCCTCTTGTGTCCCACAAGACCAAGGAAATAAGTGAACAAATAAGTTCTTTGTTTAAACAAGGAAATTTCACAACAGTTTGGATTTTGATTCAAACCAATATATTAAAGAAAGAATTCAGTTTTAACCACAAGGACATGAGTCTAGATACATGTAAAGACCAGTTACCAGAGTGAGTGATGGTCCATGCTGATTAAATACGTCTTTTCAGCTCTCTTGATTCTTTGCTAATAATCTTAAACCTCCAAATGCATCCACTTACCTGACATAAGAGATCTTCAGACTTTTTCTTTTCTTCTCTGAGCTGTCCTTTAATAGTTTCATTTTCTTGTTTTAGTCTCTGCACTTTCTCTCCTTTCATTTTATTTTCATTTTCTAGAGTCTGCATTTCAGCAACCTGTTGTGACTGCAATGAGGCATTTAAACTCGTTATTTCTCGTTGTGTTTCTTCATACTTCTTTTTGAATTCATTAAGTTCAGCTCTCAGCTGGGTTATAGTGCGTCTTTCAGTCTCAAGATCACTCTTAGCAGTTAGTAACAGCTGGTCATAATATTTTTGCTTTTCCTCTTGTAGATGACCTTAATGAGTCAGAAATAATTGAGATAGTAAGGGGGGAATCCCTTAAAAATCAGAACACCAAATCCTTGACAGCATTTTAAGGCATATTGATAGAAATTGACATTCTAGGCTATTACACAGCTCAGACTGGCACCAAACTTGAGTTAAAACAGCTTTCGATACTTCTAATGCAGTGAAGTCTCCTTCCCAATATAGTTACTGGAAAACTGCAACTTGGCTTGCATTAGCATTGTGTGCTACAGCCACTTCCTTCACTAATCCTTATAGCAATACTATATCCTTTGCTCTGACTACACAAGTTCCATGACCCACACATAGTTCTTATATGGCCTCACGCATTATACTGATGCATGGGAGTCAAGGCCCAAAGACACTAGATTCTCACTTCCAGATTTAGGCTCCTTAGCCAAGGTTCTGGCAGTACTCCCTCCCCAGAGATACCCTGGGGATCTGTGGGGCTCTACTTCACCATTGTTGACCAAAGCCAGACTATCTTCTTCAAATTGTATGCCATCATTTACTTCTAAATTGCAAATAAAAGGGACTAAGACAGTTTTTTTGATTAAAAATGCCTGCTTCTTGGCTAGTGACTGCTACTTAAACAAAAGTTTGAAAAATTTCTGCTTGTCGACCCAAGAAAAGTTTAGTAACTAGGAAAAAAAAAAAAGAGGCAGTCTGTAGAAATTCAGTAGTAATACAAAATATACCTAAAAGCAGAACAAGGAACGCAAAATTTCACAGGCTTTGCTGATTTTTGGCACTGTAAATTTCTTGACTTTGATATTTTTCTGTTGAAGGCTTCCCCTCAATCTTCAAAGTGTAATTTACTAGGGAAAGTTTCTTGCTTGACTGTTCTCCCTCCCCTCGACTATGAGCTAAGCCTTACCTTCTCATTAGCAATACTCCTTTATAGGGTGGTGAGATCTTCAGAGAGATACCAAGTTTTTCCTTGGAAAAAGTTATCATATCTACTTTCAACTTCTATAGCTAGGTTCTTAGAAACTTGCATCTCTGGTACTCTCTAGCTGCTTGAAGAGGGGAACTTTCTTACACCCTTATTCCTAGTTTCCTGGCTACTCTGACAACAAAGCTTTGACTGCAGTAACTCTGAGTTACATTTCCTGGTGAGCTACGTCAGTCTGCCTCCTTCTAAAATACTGTTCATAGATTCCTAAACAGCACCAAAACAAGATTATGATATTTTACCATAAAGATTCAAGCAATAATACAGAAACCAAGCCACTGCACATGAATTACTAAGTGGTATCTGTGGGCATACTTGTTACTCCACATGATGCTAGTTCTATTTAGTGAATTTACCTTGCAGGTCAGTTGCAGCATATATGAAATTAATAATTTGATAATAAGAAAAGCAAGCCAACTCCTTCTGGTTCTTGTGTCGAACGTGATTTTAATTTTATTCCACATGCTGGTCAAGCACAACTCAAGTAAATCTGAATGCATGGTGCTGAGAGGGTGCTCATTATTGAGGAACTACGTAGCATGTAAGTGAGCTAGAGGTGGCCAGATCTATATTGCGAAACACTGTTTTGGATAGATGCCAAAACCTACCACAGGTTTTCATGCCCTGCAAGAACTGTTCAGGTGAGTAAAGAATGTGGCAGTCTTGAGTCATTTTTATAATATTTATTTTGAAAAAAAAAAATTTAAAAACCTGATCCACACCTAGCTAATAAATCCTTAATGCTTCCATTATGAAGGTTGAAAGTGTACTTTGAAGGATGGGACACACACATATATTTGCCTCAACACTTTCCGCAAACAGAGGTTGCTAACAGAGTGTCAAGGCTGTTAAAAAACATCTTTGAAGTAGATAAGAACATGAAATACTGTCGATCAAGTAATGTAGCTAGATAACAGGAAGCAAAGAAATTTTACCTAACCAAGTTTGACCATTAAGAAACCAAAGTGTTAAGAAGAAAGTTTTGATTTTGTTTAGTTGTGTTATGATTTCTATAGATAATTATGGTTTGGGTCACTTATGGGGAAAAAAATAAAGTTGATACCTTCTGAATTGAATTCTTTAGATTCTTGTTGGCTAACTATTTCTGACTTCTGTTCAAGTTCAAAGATCCTTCCAAGCAGTCCCCTGACATATGCTTCACGTTGCTGGTCATACAGTAGCCACTGTTGGTTTTTCTCAAGAGCCTTCATGAAAAGGAACAGAACAACAACAAAAAAGCCTCTGGTAGTTTATCAGATTTTAAAAGTATTAGTCATCTTAAAAATGTTAAAAGTTATATATTATACAATTTAAAAATAAGCTAATTAATTCTGCTGCAGATTGTAGTAATCATCTCTGTACAATAAATAAAAGCCATCTTCATTTGGAAAGATAAGTCAAGTTGTTGAACATAAGTTAAAATTGCAAGCAATATTAAACACTGATTGGCTTATTTCTTGGAATGGGAAAATGACTTAAAAGCAAAGGCTTTCATGAGCCATGCCCAGATTATGAAGAATTAACCGTTCAATCTGAAATAGAAATTAAAATATAAAATAACAGATCTTAAGAACAGAATAAACTAGAACTGTATCATTGCAACTTAAAGTTTGTAAGAACAAGGGCATGGATTTTTTTGTCCAATTAGATCATAGAATTATTCAGGTTGGAAGGGACCTCAGGAGGTTTCTAAGTAACAAGCGAGAGGACAAGAGGAAACGGCCTCAAGTTGCGCCAGGGGAGGTTTAGATTGGACATAAGGAAAAGTTTCTTCACCAAAAGGGTTGTCAAGCATTGGAACTGGCTGCCCAGGGAAGTGGTGGAGTCACCATCCCTGGAGGTATTTAAAAGACGTGTAGATGTGGCACTTGGGGACATGGTTTAGTGGTGGACTTGGCAGTGCTAGGTTAATGGTTGGACTTGATGATCTTAAAGGTCTTTTCCAGCCTAAATGATTCTATAATCCAACCTCATGCTATCCCAGGCAGTGTCAGCTCAAAGATCAGACCAGGTTACTTGGGGCTCCTGTTTTGTCAGCAACCACTTTATTCTGATGTTCCAAGCACGGTTTTTCAAAGATGATGGAAATATTGTCTTTTTTTTTTGCAAGTCTTTATTTAAATTGTCTTGTCACAAAATAATTTTAGATATTATATTTTAGAGGGAAACATACCGCTGAAGTCCCATACTACCCAAAAACACATATAGTGGCAATTTACATTCTTATGCATCTTGATACAGTTGTATCTTGCAACATTGTACATGAAACTTACATCTTTCAGTTGTTTTTCAACTTCATAAAGATTAGTCAGTGATCCAGTGCTGTTTGTTACAGCTTCCTGCAGACAAAGAACAACCTGTTAGCGTTCTTTAAAATAGATGGCTGAAACAGTAAAGCTAGTCCTGTATAACTATTAATTTCACATAAACAGCATATTTTAAAAATGGAAAACAGATGCGTACACATGCCTTTTGTGTTTAAAGATCTTTATAGTCTTTTTTTTTTTTTAAAAAGGGATCCAAGTTATGTAGAAAACCATTTCATAAATTTGAAATAAATTCTCCTGGAAGATACAGGACAAAGATTTACATTGAATTTATTCTATAACTCTGCAACTCATATAGTTACATTAAAACATTTCCTAAGAAGAATATCATGTGTCCTCTTTGAACTGCTATCTCAGAAGACCTGAAGGGTGCAGGAGACCTGCTGAAAAATGAAGCTATTTTGGGTATTAAATACATTAAAAAGGTGCTTGTTCTGTTTTCGTATCCTTGTACATTTGACAATAAGCCAGACCTATAGGAGTTGTTGGGGAAAGCTAGAGACCTTGACAACTTCATTGGGATCACAGGAGGATTATAAACATCTGGGAAACCATGCAAGCCTGTCTGCGACTGTAAGGACATAATGACTGGTTTTCTGAGACCTGATCCACAGTAGATCGCTTACAGTACGGGTTGGAGAGTTCTTTAGACCCATCTAAAACTAAACAGTAGTTAAACAGTTAGACTTCTTTCATAATCTGATATGTTTATTCACTGCATGATAGAAAGCATTTTGAAATTGTGTAGATATAAATCAGAGGGAAATTTAAGGAAATAAAAATGTAGATTACCCAAATCCAAGCTACATTTTCCCAAAGTTTTCCCATGTTTTTTGGAACATGATTTAGAACAAGCTTTATAGTTGAAAAAATACAGAGGATCTTTGAACGCAATTATTAAACTTTACCACTTCCTAATAAAAATAGGATTTAGGGACACTACAATTGCTCAGACTCCTATTTCTATGAACATTAGAACTCTGTCTCAGTGAAAACTTTCTCAAAATTGTGTCATACAACTGTTGTTTCCATTTCAGAGAACACCTGCTGCTCATATGCCACCTAGCAGTTTCAAGCAGCATTGCTAGACTTTTCAAGTTTTCCAAGATATCCAGTCAAAACAGTCAAATTTTGTTGTCCTCTATGGATAAATCAGTAAGAAATTTAAAAGAAAATTCTGATTTTAAACTAAAAGATATTTTGGTAGTTCATTGACAAAAATATCATGGAAATCTGTTAAGTTAACATACATTTTAAATTCTCTAACAAAGTTCAGAGTCTCTTGAAATTGAAAATAAACACATTGCATTTAAAGTGGTATTTCCCAAGATACTGCATTATTAGAAGTGATACATATATGTATTATCATTGAAAATTAGTAGATTAAGATATTTGGCTATGTATTCGGCTAAAGCTGGATTTCTAGAAATTACTCAACTTCCCTGTAGAGCATGGGGAACCGGCACCATCTGCAGGTCAAAAGCTGGAAAAGACTTAGAGGCACCTCTTGGGCACCAACTTCCTGTGCCAGTTATTGAGATACTACTGCATTTTCCATGGAACATGTGAACAGGCAGAGGTGGAAAAACAACTGTAGAAAACTAAATGCATTTGTAAAAGATGGCAAGTAACTGGCACCATACCTATTAACCATTTTAAATGAGAGAAGCAACTCATTATTCCTGTCCTATCTTCTGTCACATTGAAGTATTTAGCATGTGTGATGCCATGTGAAGTACAGGCAACTAGTTTTAACAACCGAAGAGCAAATGAGGATTCGTAAGAGCAGGCAAGAGAGAGATATTCTCATAGAATAGTTTGGGCTGGAAGAGCCCTAAAGGTCTCATCGTCTCATCCCCCCTGCACATGTGCGGGGGGATCTTTTCCTAGA